AGGGGAGAAGAGATTTGATCCATTGTAAATACTTACATCATGGTAGAGATAATTAATATTGTATATAATGTATTGTAGTATTTATTTATGTGTACAGTCATTGTAATATATTCCCTTTTCCCCATTTTGAGTCCGTGTGATTGTCTGGAAAACACATCTTACACTAGGTTAAGATGTAGGAGGGGGTTTAGACTAGGGAATTAGATTTTGGGGTATCTCAAACCATGACAAGGTCAAATAATAACACATAAATTAAGAAATCAGCACTTCAAACTAAGCTTTCATCCTGATTAAGGTTAATTTCAGAAATGCGTGAAAAAACAGTTAGCTTTATATTCAAAACATTACACATACTCTGCATATAATTTCAACAAAAATAAAATAGGCCAAATAAAGAGATCTCAGTACTATAACAACCACAGTAAAGACTTGTTTTGTTCCTATTCCCTAGAACGAGTCATTCCAGCTTCTCTCTAATTAAGAGCAGAAGCTATCAGAAATTTTGGGAAGCCAAAACGGCATGAACACTCTTCTTTCAGCCTAAACCCACAGCACATTCTGCCATTCAGAGACAGAATCATTCAGGTCCTCAGTCCAAATACCTGTTCTCAATAGGATCAAGACCATTCAGACCAGTTTGTCCAGGGTTTGTTGAGTCAAGTCTTGGAAACTTCCAAGGGTGGTGCCTACTGGTACAATCTAGCCAAGTACCTGACTGTCCTCACGGAGGAGGCAACAATTCTTGCTGTTCCTGGACCAACCTCTGCCACTTAGGCTATCTGTTCTTATCGCAACATAACATGACCAAGAGGAGACAGACAAAAAAGGGGTTATGTTTACTGCGACCCACCTAGGGAAAGCCCCACCTAGGGAAAGCCCTAGCCTTGACTCTCAAAAGGCAGACAGTGTTTGTAGGTATCGTGTGTTGAGACAGACCACAAGTACAATGTATAAATGAAGGTCTAAGAAGAGTCCTGGCTTACAAACTTTTCAGCACTGGGTACAGTGCAGATGTATCAAAGAGCTCAAAAGAATGTGATCAACCGCCTGACGACAAAGATTATTCATTGAGTTCTGGTGCTACATCTATTTTGACCTTTTTTATTTTTTCATTTCACTCTTATGAAGAACAGATTCATTTAGCAGAATGGAACCTCAGGAAATGCAACAAAGACCAAAGTCCTGCACCTGGGAAGGAAGTACTCCCTGAAAAAATATGGGCTGGATACTGACTGGCTGGGGAGCAGCTCTGTTGGGAAGGAACCTGAAGGGTCCTGATGAAACTTGAGCTAAATGTGAGTCAGTTTTGTGCCCTGTCAGCGGTGATCACTTCCTTCAATCTGCTGACCTGACAATACAGCCTGACAGCAGATTAAAGAAAGTGATCATCTCCCTTTATTTAACCTCCATCAAACTAGATCTAGAATACCATATGCAGCTTTTAGTCCCACAGTTCAAGAAAGATATTGATAGAGTTTGGCATAGCATCACTAACATGGGTGGGAGCTGGAGTGCTTGCTCTGTGAAGAGAGACTGAACGAACTGGGTTTGTTGAGCCTGGGGAACAGAGGGCTTTGGTGAGCTAGAAGGATTTGGCGGTGCTGGTGGATGAGAGGCTGGACATGAGCCAGTACTGTGTGTTTGCAAAAGTAATAGAGTTTGGCATAGAGTAATGTTCATGTAGCAGACAGCTTGAAGAAGTGCAGTCTGATGGAAGACTAAAAGAAATAGAGAGCTGCTTTGCTTGCTTGTGTAATATTAATAAGAATAATGAGAGCAACCTACAGGTTCTCCAAATGTACAAACAAAAGAGGAGCAATTACTGAGGTGAACATGAGGAACATAAAAATAGGAGATAAAAATAAAATATTTATAGTAAATATATGGGAAAAAATCAAGACAATAAGATTTATCAGTCTATTGAACGTTTCTGCCTGCTGACTTCCACATCACTTAACACAATCACTCTTTTTAAAAATTCTGGTTTTCTCTCTTTTTGAGCTAAAGAGAAGAAAACTCCTTGCCAGGAAGGACCGGTATGGGTAGGAGGTGGTCTGAATGATCCAAATCTCCTTTCTCTAAATCTAAACTCTCATAGTATGAGTCATGTTACACTCAAACCACAAGGTAACATACATAACATTAACAGACACACAAATGTGACATTTCCATATCGTAATAACAGTTAAATCAATTACTACTGAGAATAAGAAAATATCACTAACAAATGTGAAATCAGTCAGGTTGTTTTGCTGCTGGCTTCAGTAGGAAAGAAGTGAAATCATCTTTCACTTGCATTCCAGCAGGTATCTCTGGATATACTGGGAATTACTGGGAAAGGGATAAAGAATTCATCATCGACTAGAGTTGTACCACAGCCATACGGCCAGATGGGTAACAACTGAAGTACTTAGTAGGAACACAGAATTTAATTCACCTCCTACTGCAAACATATGGACCAAAAATAGTAACTGTAAAATGTACAAAAGTAGAAAGCATGTAACAAAAGCACTTTATTTGACCCTATTCTACCAAAAATATCCTTACTTCCTATGCTCAGTTTAATCCATCACAATCTACAACCATTTTAGCTCTATAATCCAATACTTATTCTCCGCATTTGTGTGAATTTCTGTACTGAGAACATTAGGATGAAAGGATTTATTAAGAGCCTCTCAACTGACATTTACAGGGATCGTGGTTCTTCAGTCTCCCAGTAGTGCTATCCTTACATTTTTTTCTCTTATTTCCTCAGTTTAAAAGTTCAATTACAAAATTCCTAACATTAGGAAAATACCATATCTTTTTCAAGACACAGAATCTCTTCCTTAGCAATCAGGACCTGCTTCATTTGAGCTTCTATGTAACCAGTGTCTCTGCCTCCCACCACGTCACAGTGATCAAATAAGCAACAAAACATTTTGTGTGTCTAATGGGGCAACCTGCTAACTAAAATGTGATAAAGGAATGGGATCTCAGACCAGCCTTGTATATATAGTAATTAAAACATACTACAAAGGAATTTTATAGAGGGCAATCTCTGTCGCTTCCTCACCTGCAGAGATAATGAGGTATGGGGAAGACATACCCTAGGCACTTAAAACACCACTAACACACTCACTCCCAGAAGTTTCTTAGGAGAGAGAAGGGAGTTTACACCTGGGCAGTGCTTTATATGATGGTATAGAAGTGGTTAAGCATCAGCATTCAGTGTGGAGAGTTTAAACCTGCAGTTTTGTACATATTTATTTTTATCTCTGAAAACACATGCAGGGGATTCCACACCATGGGAGGACAGGACTGTACTCTTTAGGATTTACTAGAGCCCATGAAAGAGTACTACAAGCCTTTCACACTGAATTTGTATTTGCAGCAACAACTTTCCTGATACACAGTGAAAAAAAATGCAGAGATTTGATCAAAGATCTTGATACAGACTAGGCAATAAATATCCTAACTCTTAGGAAAGCCACTGTGCCTTTTAAAAGATAAATTTGAGATGTAAATCTTCAAGCAGTGACCTGAATTGCTGGACAAGAGAATTTGAAATCGTCTAAGAGAATCTGCCACAAAAAGGTATGAACATTCAACGGCTCCAAATTTACACAGTTATATGAGCATGCTACAGCATCCACAAATACTAGGGTTCACTTAAGCACACTTCTCAAATTATTTAAAACAATTTGAATAATTTGTGTGCTAACTAAATTATCAAGACTAAACCCACATTTCTGCTTGCCAGGACTGGGAGGCAGGGTGCATAATAGACTGTTAACCTGGATAATAGAGAATCAACTTCATATTCTCTTCCAGACTGTGTCAGGGTCCTAGAGACAAAAATGAAGCTCACACAGATTTAATCTGTAAGCTAAAACTTTATGTATAATATACACACGTACTGGTGGACAGAATGTTCAAGCCAAGACAGACATCTTAAACAATCCCAAAACACAAAGCAAACTTATTTATGTACCTTTTCTAAGACCGTTTCTGGTTTATTTTATTCATCAGGTTATGGTTTTTCTCAAGATCTTCAACCCTTTATTCCTTTTTTATTTGTCTGATCTCACAGTTGACCCAGCTAGCACAGTAGGAGATTGGACTAGAGACCTCTTGGAGTCCATTCAAGCCTGCATCTTTCTTTAAGCCTATGATTCCAAAAGGAATGGGATCCTTATCACCTGTTGATCACCCACCTCTCCTACAAATTTTGAAACCTGTTTAAGTGTTCAGGATGCACAGCTGAAAACACTTCAAATAAAAAGATAACAAAAACCCCCTACCAGTGATGTGTCTCCACTTTGGGGTCTAAAAAACTGAACACAAATTTGTAACTCAATTTCCTTTTTCAAATCAGCATCATCACTTAAGTTTTAGAACACCATAATAAAGAAATTTGAGTATGCATTTTATTTACTTGTGATAATTGCCATAAACTGGTCTCATGCTGAAAATCTTGGTATCTATCACAGTTTTGCTTGTATCACATCTACCATAGTTTGGCCCCGACCTACAATATTCAAAATAAATAACATATTCCAGCTAATAGTTGCAGCTAAGAATGCCACGTGCAACTAACTTCTTTTAATTTACTCAATACACCAGCAGTGGGTGTGCCACTTGCAGAGAGGTTTACAATTCTCATCTTTCCTGCCACGTGCAGAACAGTTATTCCACTATCAGTATGGTTTTCATGCTGAAGCTCAAATTGCCACCTGTTATGGTTCTTCCATGAGGCACCTCTTTGAAAAAGCCTTGGTACCATACCAGGAGAAGCACAGTTTCACAGTCTCCTGAGGGACTGGTCACTCCTACACTGAGCGTTTTCCTGAAGTCTTGCTATACAGACTAGGACTGAAGTAGTATTGCTGCCTTTCAGCCTTGGCTGGCAGAACAGAGACAATTTCCTGTTTAGCTGGGATGAAATAGCTCTTTTTTCAAGTTAGAAATAGGATTTAATTTAAGGAAAGCTCACAAAGATTTTTGTGGACTACGCTTACCTCCTGGACAATGCCTCATGGCCATTTTACACCGTCTGGACTCCGCAATGGTTGGGCACGGTACTGTGTCTTTCGCTGGCTTCTTCACAATTTGTCTTGTTCTTGTTTCCAAGCCCCACTTAAATCCACATGTTTTGTTATTTCTGCTGCAAGTTCCCCACTCGCTCCACTGACCCACTTCACAGCCTTCTGACAAAGCAAAAGAAAAAAGTAATTTTTCTGGTTTGTTCGGGTTTTGTCTTTTTTCTTTTTGTTTTTTAATTACGTCGTATACTGTTAGAAAGCAATACTTGAAACTTTTACTGCTAACAGGCAAGAATTAGAAACAAAATTAAAATCTTTTAGAGAATCTGGAAGGATCTTTTTGCTAGCATCAACCTAAGCAAAAAAATCAAACTATCAAATTCTGTGTATAGATGTCGCATCAGTTCTAAATATACAAAAACCCTCCTGAAATAAAGAGATTGACTTATTTTTTCTCTATCTAGTAAATAATTCCTAGTTGGCTGTCACATGGATTTGAAAAGCTCAAAAGTTCACATTTCCAGGCCCTCTCCATAATGAAACGCAAGCAATACACTTGAAAGAAAGAGTCCGTTCTGACAGAATTCCTGAAATCTTATGAATTCTGAGTTATAAATTCTCATACTAGGTGATTCTACAATTAAAAGGACAGAACTTTCTGATGCGTAACAGAGTGGCATTTCCAATAATGCAGTATTTTAAAGTTTGGAAAATTTAGTAATAGTAGTAGTAAAGAAATCAAAGCACAATTCATCAGTCAGTACTTCCTGATATGAAATACTAAGCACCACCTTAAAAACAGTGCCATATTTGAACCTGGCCAGCCATCAAAAGAGCTACATCAGCAGGACTGCTGTGCTAGAAGACTCACCCACACACTCCATAAGCTCTTCCAAGGCTGCAAATCCAGGAGGGCAACTTCGAAAGCAGCGGCCTCTGTGCGAGTAAAAGCCAGTTTTGCATTTGGTACAAAAGTCTCTGCTAAAGCAGGAGTCGCAGTTTTCTATTCTGCATCCTGAATCAGAAGGATCATAACAAACAATAAGAGAGCAAAGTTAGGGTAAAACTAAAAATGAAGGGACTTATAAAGCAATAAAATAGCAAAGCCAGAAGTGCTATAATGAGGAATACTGTCATCCTGAAATCTACCTGCTCTATAGAAGAAACTAAAGGCAACTGTAACTGTCTACCACATTTTCCCTTACATCCTTTGAATTATATCTTTTTTGTAATCAAAACTGTAGATACAACCCCTAGTTTACTTATATTTGAGTTAACTACATTTTTTTGGAGGAAAAATGTAAATTATTTTTGTGTTTAAGTAATCGTGATGAAACTGAGATGCAACAAATAATTTTGGGAAGCATGCATGCATTATATGTATTGTCTTCAGTTTATAATTTATCATAGAAAGCAGGATACATTTTCTTCCAGGAGCTGACCCTATAAATAGCTAAGCAGATGCTTTCACGTAGTATATCTGATATTCACGTCTACACACATGCATGTGCTACCATACAAAAAGTCTCAATATTTCTAGATTTAACTCCCTTTTATTATTAATCCACAAAAAAATAACCATTCTTAAATGACTAAAAGACATAAAGCTATAACCAATAGCAAAAAAAACCCCAAACAAACAAGAAACAAAAAACCAAACAACAAACCAAACCAAACACTTATTGCCTTCATGAAACATACTTCTCTGAAAATTTAAAAGAAATATGACCCACAATAGATTAAACTCAGAAGTAAAGTGTTCAGAAACATCATATTTTATATTAAAACATGGCAACCTGAAAATGGACCAGTTATTAATGTTCATATATATACTACACACACCTACAAAAAAATACCAGGGAAAAATGTACCAAAGATTGAAAAGCATAACCCATTATATTTGGAACAGTAATGATCACTTTACTATTAATTTAAGTAGATCTAATCCTTCAGCTAGCACACCTAATTTACATAAGCTACATTAACTGTATCCCGTCTTCAGCTATCTGAAGTCGCAGCAAGAAGCATTTGTTATTCATGTCATGCAACAATATCCCAATAATTTTGCTCATTTATGTCATCCATTTATTCTTCATTCTTTTAGAAAGAAAAAAAAAAAGCACAAACCATAAAAACTTCTAAAATAGCTATTGGTAAATATTCCCCATCAACACTTCAAATTTAGCCAATCTTTATAAAACAGATTTTAACATTTGTTTAACATTCATTTTAACTTCAGTAGGCCAAAACAGGCCACCCCACAACAGTTAAACAGTGTGCATGTGAGTAAGTACATAAAATTATTCCTTTTTAGCAACTGAGTAAATATGAGGCTTTTAAAATAGGATTTCTTGTGGCACTGGCCAATAAATTAGGCAGATTGAATGAAAAGAAAAAAAGTGTATTTCAAATACACTCTGGTACACATTTGTTTGGTTAAAAGGAATGTTAGCATCACGTTGAAGCCTTCCACTGCCAAAGGTAAGCTCTGCTGGCATTATTTAGACACGACCACACATAACCTGCATGCTACCAACTCTGTTGGACCACTTGTCTCAAAGGGGTTTTTAGAACTTGTGTTCTAAAAGAAGAACAAGTTTGGCTTGTTGTCCACACTTCAGTTTATAGGAAATTGCTGAAAATAATAATTTCTTTTTCACAAGGGTTGAACCAGTCCCCAAAGAACAGGAGATCAATGCCCACACAATGACCTTGCAAAATCACTTCCCCAGATTAATGCACTGCAAGGCAAAAACAGTTAGATGAGCTGCTCTGGAGATGTACCACAAGAGTTAATTGCTAACTTGCTTTGTTACACCCAAGGTGTATTGCAAGTATTTTATCAAATGCAACACTTAAGTCAAACATCCTGTTTGTTTAAATATTCAGAAAAAACATTTGCCACTTGCCCACCACATGAAGCATTTTGAAAAGACATCAAGGTTTTTATAATCATGTAGTCCAATGATGAGGTGCAGAATAGATAAATAAAAGAGAAGATCTTGTGACCCTCCCTCACATCCAAGTGACACGATATTCTTTAAAGTAATGTCTTAACTATTGCTTTCAAAGCATGTCGGATAGCAACATGTTAAAAGCCTTTTTGTGTGTGTGGAAGAGGGACTAAAGGAAAAACTTTCAATACAAGATGCCTTTTGATATGATACAGACAAACTTAGCAGGTGAAAGTCTCCTCACCTTATGCTGGGGATACTCTCCACGAAATATCACTATTTAACACTGAGTACATACGTGAATATCTCATATTTCAACATTAAAAGAATTAATCAATCTTCTTTCAGTTTCTTGATCATACTTCAAAATTCCCACCCTATTTATATTTGTTACTTTACTTCCTATGCCAATTTTCTTTTTTTGTCACAGAAGAGTCCTTGTCATGATAACTATATTTTAGAAACATTTGTAGGTGAAGGCTGGCTGGAGTAAAGGTTGGGTGGAGATTAGGCAGTTTATTTTCAATTTTTTCCTATGAAGATAAAGTACTCCAAACATGAAATTTAGGATTTGGGGGAAATTTAGAGAGAAAAGCTGAAAGAATAGTAGGAATACTGTAAGAATTCTGAAATTACAACATTATTTCACCAGAGTGATATTCATCATGATACTTGGGATTACTGGGTGCTAATCATAATGATCATTTAACTCAGTAATACACCATACTGTTGCTGAAGAGCAACTAGGAGTTTGATCCTTTCTGACATCCTCCATATGCACAGTTTGAAATTATGGAAGATGCTCCTGCACTTAAGCCTTGTATGCATTTTTTATAAATGTTAAATAACCTAAAAAGCTAAAGAAAAGCAATAATCCAGAAGTTAGAAAAGCTAACTATCTAGAACTATCTATTTTCAATCACAAACTGTCACAACACTAGTTAAGAAATACAGAGAAAATTTATAGAGTATATTATTTTTGGTGCCTATATTCATTTCCTTACATGGTTTAAATGCTCTGGGGATTTTTTTTTTTTAAATAAAAGTGCTATTAGTGAATTATTTTAATGGTGACTGAGGTTAGTAAATTAGAATAAATGAATTCTTTAGATTCTTTTGTTTCTTAAAGTAAATTATACCAATGTGAAGAGATACAGAAAGTGTACACATTTTTAGTTGGACACCTAAATAAGCTGATACTCCCCTTAGGATATTAAGAAACCTTTGTTTGGAAATAAATACAACTGTGTTGAATTTTGTATTTCTTTTTGTTAATCAACATCATTATCTATGTAAACTTCCTTAAATATAGGTCTTAAAGGAAGTATATTGCAGATTACTAAAATTCTTTGCATTCTATTATTTAAGTAATAAAATGGATAACAATGAATAACCTACTATGAAATCTACAGGAGAACTGTTTGACATAACATGCAATAATTAAGAAAAACAGCATTTTGAAAAATTATTTTATACTTTACAGTAAATAATAAATCCCAAGGAAATACTTTTTAGTGACCTGAACTGCTTTATTCTGAATGCTACCGTTTTCAACCCTTTAAACTTTCTGATCTCGGCATCTTACGCCTACCTCTGGAGATGAAAAGCAAAATCTTTTCTACTTTTAAAAATCCCTATCTAAATCCTTTTAAATTCCCTCCAAATTAAATAGTTGGCTTACTGATATAATTATAATAAACTGGAATAAGACAGTTTTTTTTTATCGGGAGCAGATTCTTATCAAAATCAATTTTATTACTTCAATTTACTAGCCACAGACCCAATTGCTTTTCTCATGAGTCCAGTCGTTTCATTTTCTGTATAATACCAGCAGTTAGGTGATGTGGTTTGTGTATGCTTTTTATTCCACTTAAAAGATTGCCTAGAAGTTTACAACATCCAAAAAACCCTAGAGGAAACGAGACCAAAAAATTGAGATAAACATAGCTAAGATTTCAGACTCAAGAAACTCTTCAGAGGAAAAAACAGATAATGCATAACCAAGTCAAATATTTGCTTCCATCCTTCCACTTGAAAGGTACAAAACAGAGGCCACCCTCATATGAAGACTCCACATCTTCTTCTGGTATCATCCTCACATAACTGGACTTTAAAAAGCACTCAGGAAGGTCCAGAGAAATCTGCTGGTGTGTCTGATTAGCACATTTCTAAACAGATGACACTTAAAATGTTACACCATACTTCTCACAAGAGTTGTATGTAAAAGCTAAAAGAACCATTATGACCTCACTGAAATCCATGACAGAGGTCCTAACTGCTTCTAAATGCAAGAGAAGTTTTAAACTAATAAATTTCTTATTCCATCAGACAGACCAGGGCCCATAGTAATGACTTGAATGGGTAAAATTAATATTAAAAACACTAAAGAAATATAATCTTACATGCTAAATACAGATTTTTAAATTGAAAAGTGAGAACTGAAGAAGCGCAGTACTCCAAGAGTTAGAAAAGCTAACTTTCTAGAAGTCTATTTTCAGTCACAGGCTGTTACAGGAGAGGCTGTAAATTCACAGCTCCATGACTTCACCTCCCAGGGGAAAGGACAGAAGAGAAGTCACTACTTTGCCTAGTGAAGCTAAGCTGGGCTGAAAGTAGACAGATCTGCTTTGCTCAATTATCTTCAGTGTTGGGACAAAATAAAGTGAATCAAAAACAGGGCTCTGAAATGTTGATTTATGGGACAAGATGTATAACTTCTCCAGTGGAAAGCCTACTGATAGTGTGCAATCTCTTAATTTAGTTTCACAGGACAGTAAAAAGGTGACTGACACTTCAGTAAAACATGAGTTTAGCTTACAGTGCGTAAAAGTGCCTTCATGCTTGAGACCAGTTACAGAATATGCTCAAGAAAGAATCATATAACTTCATGAGTTAGTATTGTGTCACTCCTCAGTAAATGGCCAGGAAATCTACCAAACTGAAGGACAATATTCTTTGGTTCTAGAGAGGAGAACAAATCCCAATCATAATATCTCCTTTAAGAAAAAAGGTCGTTGCCATAAAAGAATCCAAAGGTAGAAATTTAAAACATCTTGAGTTTGTTTTCTGAAAGAGAGTGGCAAAAGATAAGTTATCTACAGGATTTAGGAGCCAAAGCTCCTTTCTCCTTAGCTTTCAGGGAGCTGTAGCACCTTATGGCAGTTCAGAAATACTTCAGAAGCATTTTTGCACGTATGTCAGATTTTGAAAAAAAAAAGTAATAGCTATGAGCAACGTTTCAGTCAAGGTTAGGGCAACCAATATGATATAGAAGAAGTGCATTGCTGACTAGTAATAAAACATTTTTATTTAGACTTTAAAAACTCATTTATACTGCCATTTACTTGAATATCATAAAAAAATCAACATGGATAAAATTTACAATATTTACAGAACACTACATAAATTGTACATTAAACAACTCTGAAAGGACAAAGCTCAGACTACAAATTATGCTCAAATTAGAGATACATTTTAAGAAGATGAATCGCAGTGATATTAAAACATTTTCATGACCTGCTTTGGCTACTGATGGTCACGATAAGCCACTCCTACTCATTCTTCTTTTAAAACAAGCATTAAAGAATTGACATACACTTCAGAGAAGGAATCAAAGCTCAGGAGCTCAAAATACAAATTTAGTTATAGAATTAAATTTAAACTCAGGTGCATGTCCCTATTGTTGTAAAAAAAGAGTATATGCTCCTTGTAAACAACTTCTCTGTGCTACCATTACAGAGAGTGCAACATTACCAAAACAAATACAATCCTTCCATTCTAAATTTATCACCAGCTTATAAGGTAATGCAGAATAAGCTGAATTGTAGGGAAATATAATGCCTTGGAAACTTAAAATAAAGAATAAAATGCTCCATATTGAGATGCATGTACTTCATATTTTAACATACCTTAAGAAGAACTTTACTAGATTAGTTTCTCATACTAAGTGCAATATGATGAATTTTAAGGTCAAAATATATGTATTTAAAATATAAAAAGTAGTTGCTCATTTGTAAAGTATTTTTACTGATATGCATAATCTTGAAAATTTTAGGAGTCTATTTTGCATTTTTGAAATATCCATATTCTGTAGCATTTCCATTGTCACATTGTCCCTTTCTAAACAAAGTAAATGGGATTTACTTTACATTCATAACTCCCTTCATAACAAAGATATTTTGTAGTATGTATAGTGGAAAAGAGAGCTGGTCAATTCCTAGTAATCTTAATAATAACAACGATTCACAGCAAGTTCTGCTTCGCGTGAAATCCAGACTCCAGTGAAGACCAGTTACATATGGGAAAGCAAAGTGAGAACACTTCAGGGGATCTACAGGAGTGGAAACCAGTAACCACCAGCATACGAGAGAGCTGTCCTGAACTGTACTCACTGCCTGCAATACTAAGAGAAAACGATCATATTTTGCACAGAGAAGCTGTAGATTAAAGCTACGAAGGAAACATGGCATTCCTAAATTGAGGGGTTTGGCAGTCTTTGTACCGAAATTGGGACCTTGCTTGAGGCATTCCCTTGTGTTTAAGAAGTCAAAATGCACTACACTGCTGAACCTAATACTCTGGTCTTTCACCCTGAGCTCTGGCTCACAGCACCCTACTCTTCTTGCCTCAGATCTCTCTGCCTCTTCTGTAACTTCACCTATCCCCAGTCTGTTCCCGTGACCACGACACTCACTGTTCCAACTCCCGCTCCCATCCCTCAGCTGCTCGCTACAACAGCACTGGTGCTACAGATCTAACTTCACACTGCCATCCTGATGTCTCCATTGGCACTCCACATCAATCTGTCAGCTACACCACCTCCTGTGCAAATCCTCTCCAGAATTTTGTGGTAATTGAACTCCTGACTGCTAAAATTGCGCTGACTACAACAGTCTCAAAAGGTCATATGCTCTGCCATACTACATAAGTATAGTCAAACAAGGATATATTAATGATGTGTTGCTATGTTGTAACGTTAAAAAATTCATTACCTTTTTTAATGCATTGAATTAACTATATGTGCTTAATAAATGCTCAATTTGTTTAAAAGCTGCTTTTGATCTTGTTTTTAATGATGACAAATGGAAGGGGAAATTATAATTTTAGCCATGTCAGACCCTCCCAGGACTAACAGGGTGAACCTAAGCAAATGAAATAGCCAACCAAAGCTGAATGGAGCTGTAATTTCTATCCTCTGAGTGGTTCCTCCCCCTAAAATTATAAAGGTTACTGCAACCACAGACTACGCTGAAAGGTTCAAGATAGACTTGATTCATTAATCAGTTCAACCATCAAGGTGACAGATTTCATCTTACTCTTTAATTTAGTTTCATTTTTTTCTCATGAGATTATCTCTTGAGCAGTTTAGTTCAAAGTCATTAATTATTAAAAATTTCTTGGAAAATTAACAAAGTGAAGTTCTTCCCTTGGGCATTCCTCTACAGCAGAAACTCAACACTTTTCCACCTCATGTCCAAAAGCACTGCATTCTCATACTGTAGTGTTCAAGGAAATCATGTCCAGTAGGAGACTCTACACTGATTTCTAGATACAAGCAGTCTCAAATTTCATAATTCACTGTTACTAGAAAAACAGTCTAGAACCACTTAGTAAATTCAAGACATACATATTTCTTACATGTAGAAAAGAAAATTTGTCTTGAAATCCAAAATTTCCATAATTTTAGACCTGTTGCACTTGGCTGTGGTATTTATTGTGTTACATTTGGCACTATGTTTGGCTTTTAAAATCATGTCAACATTTTCCATAAAAATATGTTCTATAGCTTCTCTAACAAAAATGGGCAAGTGTTCCAGCAATAAAATGTTAAAACAGCTTTTGTGCCTATAAAGACATTAATAGGGTAGAAATCATTTCAACTAATGTAATTCAAGCCCTATAACTCCCAGAAGGATATTAGCATAGCCAATTTTTTTATTATTTTTAGCCGAGATAGAACTGTCTGAGCAATGCAGCCTGTACTAAGCATACCTAAGAGTATCAAACATCAAGTAGGAAGAAACCTATTCTATCTTTAAGGACGTTTATTTCAACTCAACTTCAATCCACAAAATGTCTGTATGTCCACAATGCTTCCTATGTGCCATGCAGGATCACCGAACCAAGAAAAAAATGAATATGTGATTTATAAATACACCAGTTGGCAGTTACGCTAAAATAAAAATATGCAATACAAAAATCATTACAGGGGAATCAGGACTGGTCAGTAAATGCAACTGCATCATTATTCTCACAGAAGGACACTGTCAAAGGCATGAGGGTGAGACAAATACCAAGCGCTCAACACACACCAACATGAGTTGGACACAACTCACATCTATGCTTTTCAAAATCAATCCTGTAATTCAGAGAAAAACCACTTCCTGAAAGTGGTCAAAACGAAAGAATGCTATATTGAATTCACCCTCCACCTTCTGCAATTAACTTTTCTATATTTTCCTTTTTAAGAAAGTAAAGAGTACTGCTAGTACAAACTACTTTTCCTATCTCACAAACACAGTACAGGTTAATACAGATAAATTAATCTATTTCCCAAACCTATAAAAATATTCAAAACCATTTTTACATGGGGAAGTTTTTATGGTCCAGTTTTGAAAGGTTTCAAGTAAAGAAGTTGTTGAATTCACAAATGAGCTACGAAAATTAAGGTCAAGGTTCTAAATTACTTTACAGAATGGAGACATAAACCATATACTGCTCTCATTTAATTTTTTCATCAAAACCTAACCACCTGGTACATATTAGGCAGCACTCTGCAATATTACACATGGATATAGAATACTATATCCATGGAGCCCACGCAGCGAATGGAAGAGGTGGGATGGGTTGGGTCGGATCCAAGCATGGTCATAAGTGCTCCTCATCCAGCCCAGACTGCCACTGAGTGACCTCATGTGGGTCTCAAGACTATGTGTGATGTGAAAGCCAGCACACACTTCTCACAACACAGTGCATCCCAGTGACATGGCACAGCACTGAGGGGGAGAGTGCTGCACATTTAAAAAACACTTGATTATTCCAGGAAACAAAGAAAAGCTGTTTCTCACTTCAGGTTCTTAGGTTTGGTAACCCGATTCTGGTTAGACTATGACAAAAACATTCCCCCCCTAAATACAAATTAGAGGTAATAGCAATGATTAATAATCCATATGGCCAATATTCCACATATGACCATATGGAAAAATCAATACGAATCAGCACAACTACCAGACAGAGGTGAAATAATCTGAGATACCAGAGCACTCATTGATTTTAACAGTTGGCCTTCTAGGCACAAACATGCAAAGAGGGAATCTTGTTGCACATTAGCAGGTTGTAAATTTCCAAATAAAATGCTTCACTAAAAGTGAGAGGTTGTTTGTTTGTTTTTAATAGTACATCTGTTTTATTAAATTAGCAACACTTACATATTAAAGCATGTCTGGTGTGAGGCATCTGGTCACCTGAAATTTGTATGGGAACAAAAAGTATGACAAGAAGCCCACCCATATATTAGTGCATGCAATAACTAGTACCTACATGAGGTACTGTTAAAATCATTCTTAATCTTTGTTTCTTAAAACTAGGAATATCTGCATTCTTTCCTAAATTTCCCTTCTAACTAAAATAATAACAATAAAAAAACAACAACAATAAAAATTAGGTCAATGCATCAACTATTTAATCTGCAGAATGTTATATATCTTGGAATGAGCTGGGACATTCCTTAGCAAAGAAGTCTTAGGATGAACTTGAGAACTCTGTGAAAATATCACTCTGTTCCACAACATGTCATCTTAAAAACTTAGCATAAATTATGGCCTTTCTACAAAAGCAAATGGAAGGGTTCAAAAAAATAACTCACTTGAACATCTGTTCATATCTGGCGTTCGAAGTCCATAGTACCCCGATGGGCAGGAATGCAAGCATTCACCATATTGTCTCATTCCTTCTCTTCGTAGGAAGAAGAATAACTTGTGTTGGCACCTGATGCACCCATTATCCTTTGAACAAGATAAACAACCTTTGCAAATTGGATTTGGTCCATAGCTAGCTGCAAAATAAGAAGATAAATTATACTTTAAGATCATTTGAGAATTATTTTGGCTGGAGGTCTTCTTCCCTCTAAAGTGTTACTTATCTTCCGCATGACTATAAGAAGTTCTGAAGGGGCAGTTCTGAAAGTGCACTCAGTTCATACATCTGTACTCACACTGAATAAAAAGAAATGCAATCTCTACAGTTTTAATTGTATGTAGAGCAATTTAATGAATTTACACACAATACAGGTACAGGCAAGCAGAGACCAAGCTTTATAAAGTTTACCAGTAAACGTTAAGTAAAAATGCAGTGCTGGATTACAGTTTAAAGCTGGGGGCATAAGCATGCAACAACAACAAAATATAATCATAGAATCAGCTGGGTTGGAAGGGACCTCTGAGATCATCAAGTCCAATCCACTACCACCACAGTTGCTAGACCATGGTGCTAAGTGCCACATCCAGTCTCATCTTAAAAACCTTCAGGAACGGAGAATCCACCACTTCCCTGGGCAGCCCATTCCAATGCCCAATTACCCTTTCTGTAAAGAATTTCTTCCTAATATCTAACCTAAACTTCCCCTGGTACAGCTTAAGACCATGCCCTCTTGTCTTACTGACAGCTGCCTGGGAGAAGAGACCAACCCCTACCTGGCTACAACCTCCTTCTAGAGAGTGATGAGGTCTCCCCTGAGCCTCCTCTTCTCCAGGCTGAACAACCCCAGCTCCCTCAGCCTCTCCTCACAGGACTTGCGCTCGAGTCCCTTCACCAGCCTTGTTGGTCTTCTCTGGACCTCCTCCAGCACCTCAATATCCTTCCTGAACTGAGGGGCCCAGAACTGGACACAGTACTTTAGGTGTGGCCTCACCGGCACTGAGTACAGAGGAAGAATCACTTCCCTGGACCTGTTGGCCACACTGTTCCTGATACAGGCCAGGATGCCATTGGCCTTCTTGGCCACCTGGGCACACTGCTGGCTCATGTTCGGCTTCCTGTCAGTCCAAACCCCCAGGTCCCTTTCTGCCTGGCTGCTCTCCAGTCACTCTGTCCCCAGCCTGTAGCGATGCATGGGGTTGCTGTGGCCAAAGTGGAGGATCCAGCACTTGGCCTTGTTGAACCTCATCTCCTTGGAATCAGCCCAACTCTACAGCCCATCCAGGTCCCTCTGCAGAGCTCTCCTGCCTTCCAGCTGATCAACACTCCTCCCCAACTTAGTGTCATCTGCAAATTTGCTGATGGTGGACTCAATCCCCTCATCTAAATCAATAAAGGCATTAAACAGAACTGGGCCCAACACTGATCTCTGGGGGACACCACTAGTGACTGGTCGCCAACTGGATGCAGCACCGTTCACCACCACTCTCTGGGCCTGGCCATCCAGCCAGTTCCTAACCCAGCACAGAGTGCCCCTGTCCAAGCCGTGGGCTGCAGCTTTTTCAGGAGTATGCTGTGGGAGATGGTGTCAAAGGCTTTGCTGAAGTCCACGTAGACTACATCCACAGCCTTCCCCATATCCACCAGGCGTGTCACCTGATCATAAAAGGAGATCAGGTTGGTCAGACAGGACCTGCCCTTCCTAAACCCATGCTGGCTGGGTCTGATCCCTTGTCCATCCTGTAGGTGCTGTGTGATTGCACTGAGGATGATCTGCTCCATAACCTTGCCAGGCACTGAGGTCAGGCTGATGGGCCTGTAGTTTCCTGGGTCCTCCTTCTGGTCCTTTTTGTGGATTGGTGTGACATTCGCCAACTTCCAATCGTCTGGGACCTCCCCAGTGAGCCAGGACTGTTGGTAGATGATGGAGAGCAGCTTGGTGAGCTCTTCCACCAGCTCCCTCATCATCCTTGGGTGGATTCCATCTGGTTCCATAAACTTGTGGGGATCCAAGTGGCTCAGCAGGTCTCTAACTGTTTCCTCCTGGATTACGAGAGGGCTATTTTGGAACTTCAGCACCCCAACATATGCACCTGCAAATCACATGCCCATGGAAATCCAGTAACACCATTAGCATAATTTCTAACTTGTGAAGTGAGCAATACTGGGAGTAGAAAAGTGTCTGCAGAACAGGTACAGCACTAGCAACATGTGCTGTCCCCTAGGGCTCAGGGTCCTACAACAGCTGTCTCCCTGCAGCCTCCTCTTGATCTAATAAGATTATCAAGAAAAAATTTTCAAAAAAAGAGTAACAGTTTTAACTTCTAAGAGCCTTTTTCTACAAGTTTCTATCCAAAATGGGCTGAAAACCATATTCACAGACATTACCAAAGGAGGCCATTTAGTGCAGATTACCATTTTAGGTCACCAGCTGCTGTGCATTCAAGTGTAGACCCTGATTTTGTTGGAGTATTTTCTTTTTTTCTTTTAAGTTACTTGGCTAATAACTGCAACACAAACTTCAGATGCATCAGTCTTTGTCCTTCTGAGCTTGTATTATCCCACCTTTCTGCAGAATTGCAGAATGCTCCTCTGTCCCCATGGGCTGTCAAGTCCTTCTCAGGAGTTCAATCAGCACAGCACGTTAGCAGAGGGAGGATGGCTCAAGACATTCCTGAAAACAGCATAACTTAAGCAGGTCTGTATTAAATATTAAACTGGCCACAGAAGTTCACAGAAATTTATCAGTTCAAACCTGGTTTACTGGAAACAAAAGAAAAATACTATTCAACAGAGGAAAGTGTCATTGGGGTCTCAAGAGTTTTTTAACAGAGCCCACCAGAGAGCAGCTGGCCAAAAAGGCAAAGACAATGTTTAATTGTCATATTTTTAAATATTTAAAAGTATTCACACCCTAATGTAGTGATCTCGTACTTTTACTTTGTATGGCTGGATAACTGAGGTTGTTCAACTGATGACTTCACCAGCAGAACCAGGAAAAAAAAAAAGGAAAAGCCCACCACCCTGTGGAATCAGTAGCTGATAAGCTTTACTCTCACCTTCACACATCTGCACACCACATTCCCATTCCCTCTCTGCTCCGATCCCCCCCCCAACTCTCTAAGTTCAGCATGACAGCATTCAACTCTGATCTTGTACAAAATAATCCTAGTGGGTGGCAGGCAGGACAAGAAGCCAAGCAACCTGGTGTGAAATAGCTCAGTCAGTGGGACACTGAGTACTGGAGTCCTCTGGCACCAGTCTCACCTGATGAGATCCTCTTGATGGGAATCACATCCTTACCCTTCAGCACTCTGTTAACCCTTTTGTAATGAGACACCCTACCAGACTAACTGCCCTATACTCCTAAACCAGTTCCCATCTCCTGTTGCCCACAAGACCCAAGATATAACTTTTCCTACAGTTTGACTTGTTACTGTTCTCATCCACAATCCACATATTTAATGACAGACAAGAAAAGAAACAAGCAGATGGCAAACTAGGCCTGGATGCATCCCTCATCTCACTGCCAGCAGGGATTGCCTATCTGTAACCACATCAAATAATATGTGACCACATACTCCAAAGCAATTGTTGCTTAACACATGGTGGGCAATCCTGTAGACTTCTGAATTCCCTTTTTGCCTCCTTGCATCTCACATTCAGCAAATCTGTACATCCAAGCTTATTCAAGGTTCCTCAGAGAAGCCTGTATTATAATAAAAAGAATTAAAAGAAACAAAGCAAAAGCAAAGATGCAAGATGCCTGAATGTATTCACCACTCAGAGTGGTTTTTGGAATTCGAAACAGCTGAAATCGGGATCTGATTTTGACTTAGGGCCCAGCCAATTGCTGAATATGGGTAAAACTGTCTCACAGTGGGAAAAAGATCTTTGTACAGGAGTTATCAGGGCTCACTGAAAGAGCTTTAAACTAGCTGTGAAGGGGGGAAAGGATAAATCAAGGGTAACTAAAGATAAATCCAGGGGCAGTATGCCAGTGTCTGAGGGACAGAGTGCTAGCAAGGTCCTTAGCCTCCGATCTCAGGGGACGTAGGAGATGGAAATACATTTAGCAACGAAGATGCCAGGGTAATTCATGGGTTAAAAACCATGGAAGCACCTGAGAATAGTCACATAGGAATGAACCACAAATAAGGTGTCGGGATCAATAGCGCAGCTGAAGTGCATCTGTATCAATGCACGCAGCATGGGTAACATGAGGAGCAGAAAGTCTCTGTACAGCAGGAAAAGTATGACATATTTGCCATCATAGAAACATTGTGCAAGGAGTCACACAACTGAGATGTTGCAATGAATGGCTATAAACTCCTCAGAAAGGATAAGCAAGGAGGCGGTGGGGTAGGCTTGTATGTTATGGGGTGTTTTGGTTGTCTAGAGCTTGATGATGGGAAGGCTAGGATTGAGTGTTTGTGGGTAAGAATCAGGGGGAAGGCCAACAAGACAGGTATCATGATGGGAGTCTGCTACAGACCACCCAAGGAGGATATAGAGGCAGATGAAAAACTTGGTAAGAGGCTGGGAGAAGTCTCACAATCCTCACCCTTGTTCTCATAGGGGATTTCAACTTACCAGATGTCTGCTCAAAATACAACACAGCAGAGAGGAAAGAGCCTAGGAGATTCCTGGAGTGTGAGGCAGATGACTTCCTGACACAGCTGGTGAGGGAGTAAACTAGGGAAGGTAACCTCTGGACCTGTTGTTTGGGAATGGAGAAAGACTTGTGGGTGATGTGATGGCAGGAGGCCATCTTGGGTATAGTGATCACCAAATGGTAAGAGTTTTTGGTTCTTGGTGAAGTAAGGAAGGGGGTCCACAAAATCTCTGCCTTGGACTTCTAGAGGGCAGACTTTGGTCTGGTTAGGACTCTGGTTAATAGTGCACTTGGGAAGCAGTCCTGAAGGCCAACAGAGTCCATGAAAATTCTGACTTCTCTTTCCTTTATGACCGCCCACGTTATTCTCTTCAAGCACCTTTTTTTCCTGTTTCTGGTAAAATTTCTTTGTTCTGCAGGAAAATTTAATTATGCTGACTAGCTTCAGCCATGGCTCTCACACAAAAGTAGCTAGCAGCATAAAATGAACTTTCATTATCCTGTACTATTTTTTGTTCAGGAGA